ACATCACAAGATATATACTAATCTAACTAAATCTTGCTAACCATTTTCTTTTAAAGGTTACAATGAAATCAGTCATTGATTCCATGAATTGCAACCGTCTTCCTCCTTGATTGATTTGTTGCTTTGATATCTGCTGGTTTATTTGGCTTTCAGCTGGAAGAAATGCCTTGAAAGTTATGTAATCACCACAATTAGAGATGAGACATATTAGGCAGTCTTATCTATTCTATTTGATAATCCTCCAGTTTCATTGATGCGTTCCTTGTACCCTGTACCATTGATGAGTTTGTCTATGTTTGTTATAGGTGTGTTTGTTAAAGGAGTCTTAAGTAGATAAAAAAAAGCACCATTCATGGGGTCTCCTATCTTGAAGCAAGAGTCTCATATCTCAAAGCAAGTCCTTCAAGAGAAGATATTAGGGTTGTCTCCTCTTCCGAAGGCACTTCACGTGCGCCCCCTTTAGGATTTCTTCTCCTCCTGGTTGGAGTCCTTCGAGTGGCTCCAAGCTCCTTTCTCAAATCTCCTATGAAATTTGAGGGAAAACTACATTGCATGGAAAATATTTCTATATCGTAGCCACCCTATTAGCTACAATGCTTTATTTATAGTTTTTTTTTGGGTATCATTTATAGGCCTAGTTTCTTATTACACCAGATTCTTTATCTGTTTCTACTACAACAGTTTTTCTTCATCTTTCTGTAACAAAAATTACAAGATCTGTCATATTCTAACTGAACCTTGGTGTGACAGCTCTTTTTTTAAAATGCTACAAATTTATTTAGTGATGAAATCAGCCATCCATTGTGGTTGTTTCTGTCTCCTCTTGTGTTGTTCCTCTGTATACAGTTTTTTGTTCGTATCATTACCACTCTTTTCTTTTGAGATAAGGAACTGATTTAGCTGCTCGTTGATTACAAAGGTTTAATGAGATGGATGATGATGTGAAAACCATAAATCATAATCAAGGTTAGCTTGTATGTAAGATTTCGTAGAACTCAAGAGTAAATTGGAGTTATTAGGACGGCTAACTTAGCATTGGATTTAAGATTTAAGGAGTATTTTTTTTGAAATTTTTCAGAAAATTAAAATTGCAGCAAGGTGGATGAATTATTAAGACAAAATTTGAGCAATAGTCTTTCTCTCGCGCGATTAGTTCGTAAACCTATGTGACTTCCTCGCAATATACCCTTTCCTCTCATAATATGAAGAAAGAAAACTACGGCCAAGCCACAGAAACCTTTTTTGCTTCGTTGTTCATAATCTTTTAAAAATGAATTTAAGCACTCATTAAGCTCAATCATATCAGGCACTGTCAGTGTCCTGTCAGCAACCATTCTGTTATCACAGTTTTCTTAATTTGCAACCCTGGCAACAAAATTTCTAAACAAACAAAAAATCAACAGGATCGAGATGAGGATCTGTTAAATTCCAGCACAGATCCATTCATCCAATACAAAATACAGCCAAATTGCAAAATCCAAATCCAGTAAAAAAAAAAAAAACTGGCGGTATTAGAACAGTGGAAAGGGGAGAAACTAGTACCAATGGAAATCCTTCATGGGTTCGATGAGAGAGACGAGACCTGCATAGCCATTGATGAGCTCCTCCAGCTTGTCCGGCGTGACATCTTCCTTGAACTTAGCAAGAACCACGTGCTTCACAACCTCCTTCGTCTCCGCCATCTCGCCTGCAATGTCACTTCCCGACTCTCTGAGCTTTAAATAGGAGATCGCCGGCAGAGATATGCTCACCGTCAGTATTGTTACCCACGTCCAAGATTGGCAGACGCGTGCGACGCCGCCGGATGTCGTTTATTTTGTCACGAAATTTGTCCGCCTGATCGGCGGTATTACTTGTTATTCTGACCAAAACAAAATATTTGATAAATATATATAGAGCATTTGTATACATACCACCCAATGCACTATCACTAATGTACATGAATAACCGGCCAAATTAAGCCAATCAAGTGATAAGTGGGCTTTTGTGACCCAATTCATCATTAATGGCCCTCTAAACGATTGCATGATCTACAGCACATCATCGGATGCACGCCGCGTGTTCTTCTATCTTCCAAGCCCACAATGATTGACTCATCAAACGGAGTTTGCCCGATTAATTTGGAAGTGGTCAAGATGTACAACTCCAATTGTTAAAGTGTCACTTGTTGCCTTTCGGGAGTTGAGACACGCTCCTCCAACCAATTAAATTAGTTTTCTCAGTTGATGATCCTCAGGTTTGGCAAATGACCGAAGTCGAGATCAACTTCAAAGGGCTAGTGGACGCCCATGAACTTTCATGAGCTATTTGAAATCCACCTCATTATGTTTTTCATTAAGACACTATGGAGAGTCTTTGTACCATAAGTTTCATAATTAGATTTCTCGTCTTCTTTGTAAAAAAGCATCATCTATATGGTGTATAAATAGATGCATTCTTTTTAAATCTTTTACTCTACATCTCTTTACTTTTTGGGGCTCTCTCTCTCTCTCTCTTATCGAGGAGAAGTATTCGCTAGGGAGAGAGTTATAAATGTTTTCTTTTGTTACCCTCCTTATGCAATTCTCTTATGTGTCTAAATAGATGCATTCTCCCACCTAAGCTCTCTCTCGAAATCTCCTGCTCTCTACCTCCCTTTCCTATTTAGTGCTCTCTCTCCCTCTCTCTCTCTCTCTTTCTATCTCTCTCTCTTATCTGGAAGAAGCGTTTAATAGAGAAAAAGAGATATATGTTCTCCTCTTTTACCCTCATTACACAACTCTCTTCTTGGTAAGGGTGTAAATGAGCTCGCTCAAACTTTGCTCATTAACAAATACCATTGGTCATGTTCGACTTATTTATATATCAAGCCCAAAAAATTGCTCATGTTTCGCTCGTTTGTTTAGTCAACCGAACACGAGCAGTTCGCGAATAACGATTCATTTTGACAACTCCAGTCACACAGTCATAGGATATTAAAGGTAAGGGAGAGATTAAATTTTTTTTATACTAAAATATTCATTTATATAAAATTTAATAGATATAAATATATATAATATATTGTTATACAAACAATATATGCAATATATATATATATATATATATTATTTTGAGCAAAAGAGATCTGAACATGAATTAACAAAATTTTGTTTGTGTTCGACTCATTTATATATCGAGCACAAAAAATTTTTCGTGTTTAACTCATTTGCTTAGAAAATGAATCAAAAAATGCTACTTAACAAGCTGAACACGAGTTGTTTGCGAACAACGAGTCGTTTCAAATGCTACTTAACAAGCTGAACACGAGTTGTTTGAGAACTTACAGCCCTGCTAATGGGATATATGAAGCTACAAAAGATGGATTGTATCCAAAACTTCATGACACAATAAAACAAGAAAAAAAAGGAATAAATGATGAATGTGACACAAGACATGGGAAAAAAATCATTTAGCCCGTTCCTGATCTCGTATCAAAATGCACAAAAGATTAACGAAATCAATGGCTCGCATAAGAGCACGGTCGAGATAAGGACCACCAAAATTAGAACCACTGAGAGCAAGATGGATGTTTCTAGCCTCAAAAAAGTTTTGATGTGGGCGAAAGATGTGCACGAGACTGCATTTCAAACTCATTAGAGTCACTAAAAATTTCTAATTAAATGAAAAGAGAGTTATATGATGATGTCGTGTGAGAGCCACAACTAGTGTTCTAATAGCATTTTTTTTTCTTTTAACCACCATGAAGACAAAGCCTCATTTTGGGAGGAAAGTATAGTTATGTTGATGCATAAGGGCAATTTATTCTTTTATTAATTATTCTTTTGGTGTATAAATAGAGCTTATTATGCTTAGGGTTATGTTATGCATGAGATTGTGGTATTGAATCTTAGGGTAGAGTTTGGAAGAGATCACCTACCTCTCAAATTGTAGGTATTAGGAGAGATTAACTACGTCTCAAATTGTAGGTGCTTGTCTTTATGTATTTGAGTTGCATTGTTTGGAGTTCTTGAAATAAAAAAATTTATTTACCCTCATTTCTATTGAAAAATCATCTTAGTTCGCATCATTTTCCTATAATTTCCACTTTGTATTTATGAAAATCTCCACACTCCAAGAAATATCAACATGTGTTAAATGGGATGATTCTATTTGTGCTTGATTTAAAAATGGCTGAACCCAAGTTAATTCGGTTATATATATGTAAATATACATATAATTCTATTTTTTATAGTTTAACATTCCCAAGCAAATGACCAAGCTTAAATTCAAACCTAAATTGAAAACGAGCATAGGAGATTTGTTTGAATGTGTAAAAAAAACACCTTACTAATTGGGACTTAATTCTTTTTGCCACTAAATTTGCCTATATTCGGCTCAAAAAATTATTCGTGATCATTTTCTGCCAGTGTTTGGCTCAAATTGACACATTTAAATTAATTAGAAAAATAATTATAGAGTACTCAATTCAACCACGACCACATAAGTTATGGTGATGTAAATTTGGATACAAATACAACCACGACCACATAAGTTATGGTGATGTAAATTTAGATACAAATAATATATATAATTTCATTATTTCGAGCTAAATTGAACTGAACATGAACAAACAAAGGATAGGCATATTCGGCTCATTTATAATTCGAGCCTAATAAAGTTATTTGTGTTTGGCTTCTTACTTCACAAATGATTCGAACATGAGCTACTTAAAGAACCAAAACAAACACAAGTTATTTGCAAACGAGTTTTTTCACGGCTCTACTTATATATCCAAAATTCATTACAATAAATTTTGTAGCCATTAAAATTGCTTTGATATGAGTGCAACATGAGAATTAATTAATTAGCCATATGTTCAACTCAGATAACACCTCCAACACTCTTAGCATTTCTTATATTAAACTTTCATCAAACTTCTAAAGCATATTGTTTCCAAATAAGAACATAAAGGGGACACATTTCCAAAGTAAACAGTTCAAATTATGATAAAACCAAACAAAATGACCCCAACAATCGGCAAATTAGCAATTCAAACCATTCATAAAGGACTTCTTATATAATAACACAAACAGTGCATTACAGGAAATATATATATTACATTTTCAAAGCAACATATTATTAAAATGTAGCAGATCAGTTTTATTCTCAAGCAACGTGCGGAATCCACACATGAGGATTGGTAAGTACCACAATACCACCGCAATACCACCAAATACCATCAAATTTGTACCTATCATATCTGCACGCGATATTTTTTTCGTCTTCTATAGGCTGTATTATTGCTTAAATATGGTTGGTTTATAATCAAACACAACAAACTTTTCTACAAATGGCAAAGATTTCTTCCCATACTCCACATGAGCAGGATGGTAAAGGTACTCAGCAATACCTTCTGTGCTTTCAAAAGATGAGACAAAAATATGGGTGAAGCCCTCATTCTTGTTCTCCATACTCACATCTGTCCCCCTGTATATTAACAAAATACAAGTAATGCATCATGTTTATGCTCAATGAGTATGTTTGAATAGAAAATAAGGGGATGTACATATATACCACAAAATTCTCATGTATTTACACATACACCTAAACATTCATATTTAAATGCATACTATCGATGCATCTATAATGCGAATGGCGGTCCAATTCAATATCGTTAGATATACCCATTCAAGAGATAAAAACTATCTCAGAGCGATAATATGTTGGAAGATTTACATACATGCCAGACAACTCTTATATATTTATATATCTGACATCTATACCTTGATATTTACGATAATATCATTTTACATATGAATCAAAAGTGTACTTCACTTTTATAAAGTTAATGATAGTGGTATTTTTTATGTGATAAGAAAGATTTGAGTGTTAAAATGTCAAAGTTTTGGTATTAGATACGTGAATTCATAAAAACTGTGATATTTATGTAAATGCCCCATTATCTTTTACTGATAATGCATCTAATAAATATGCTTCATTATTACTCTAGATTTTTTGATATGATGAAAAGAATAATGAAAAGTAAATTATGCATATAAAGTTTTATTTATAAAATAAACCTTGCACAGAAGACCATACATTTTTGTTTTCATTATTCTGAGCCTCATGTACAAAGACGATCGAGATTAGGTTGCACTGATGTAATTTACCTTTGTTAGGGATAACTCATATACCATAAATGAGACAGATGCTGGAGCGAAGTGAAGCGGAAGGATCTGGCCAATCGGGGAGTTTCATTATATGGGTTGGGGGTGCGGGGTCAACACCCCGCGGTTTGGTACATAGGTAATTTAAGTAATTACATACAATACTATAGGGATATATATATGTTCTGTCTGTAACCTTATGTAAGCTGAATCTTGTATTCTGTACTCCTTTCTGAATATTGAAAAAGAAATTGCCGCTCTGCTCCCGAGAATGTAGGCATCTTTGCCGAACCTCGTAAATCTCTGTGTTCTTCTGGATTTGTGTCGATCCCTAGTTTTTATTTGCCCTAATTTCTCAACAAGTGGTATCAGAGAGAGTTTCTAGGGTAGGGAAGAAAAATTTTGGCGACTCAAGAAAAAAGAAGATTTTAGCAAAGGAGATTGGCAGCTAGGGTGTCAGATTCGGCGTAAAAAAGAGCTTCGATGAATTTGGTAGAGGCAAGGTTCGCGGCAGACAAAGTTCGACGATTTGCGCTCGATCAGGGCTTCGTCGCAGGAACGGCAGGAATCGCAGGTTCGAGAAGGTTTACGACATTCCGTGGCGACGCGGAGTTCGAAGGAAGGCGTCCGCACGAAGCAGGCGCGAGGCTGTGAACAAAGGTTTGTCGGAGAGGATTCGGCAGGCGGCTGCGGGAAGTAATTTCCTAATTACCTTAGCTGGAGGAGAAATTGCGATCGAATTCCCAAATTGTTGGAGGCACAGAGGTAATTACTTTGCAGGGGTTTCGCATTCTTTATACGAAAGAAAGGTTCAGTGTGTGTCCTTTGCGGGAGATTTCCATTAGTTTCCTTGTTGGTTCTTAAAGGCGGAATATTGGTTTCTTGAAGCAGAACAATTGCACAATTTCCGCTATTTTCTTTTGCTACTGCGAAGAAATCTAGAAAGCGGAGGTGGAACTTTTCTGGAAGAAAAGCAAAGACGGAGCTTTTCTGAGAAGTAAAGCCGAGCTTTTCTGAAAAGGAAAACGAAACTTTTCTGGAAGGAAAAATGAGCTTTTCTGGAAAACGGAGACGGATCTTTTTTGGAAGGAAAGAGAGCTTTTTTTGGAAGTTTAGGAAAAAGATTTCTGGAAAAGTTTAATGAAGGAAAATTTAATTAAGAGAGTTTTTTTCTTGGAAACTTAATTAAGGAATTTTAATTAAGGGATTAGTTAAAATTGTGCCCCAACCCACATTGGTGCATAAGAAACTCCATAAGATAATTCTCCTAAGGGGCTGGATATTCGCAAAAGTGGAGATTTATTATGTATGACTCATAATACCAGAATTTGGAGTCTCTTTGAATGAATAGATGTCTCTTAGAATTGAAGAGGAGTGTCTTTTGGAATTTAGTGAGTTAGGGGGAGCAAGAGGCAGCGGAAGCGTGGTGGCCTAACACACACTGGTGCATAAGAAATTCCATGATATATTTTCTCCTAAAAGGCTGGATATTCGCCAAAGTGAAGATTTATTAGGCATATGTATTTCTCCTAAGGGGTCGGATATTAATTAAGATGAAGATTTGTTGGGTATATGTATTTCTCCTAAAAGGCTGGATATTCGCCAATGTGAAGATTTGTTAGGTATGACTCATATACCATAAATGAGACAGATGCTGGAGCGGAGCGAAACCCACGAGCGAAGTATAGCAGAAGAATTTGTCCAATCGAAGGAGTTTCATTATGAGGGTTGGGAGTTCGGTGCAACACCCCGCAGTTTGGTACAGAGGTAATTTTAGTATATACCATAAATGAGACAGATGCTGGAGCGGAGCGAAACCCACGAGCGAAGTATAGCAGAAGAATTTGTCCAATCGAAGGAGTTTCATTATGAGGGTTGGGAGTTCGGGGCAACACCCCGCAGTTTGGTACAGAGGTAATTTTAGTAATTACATATTGTACAATAGGGTTATATATATATATAATGTTTGTAACCTTAGGTGAGCTGAATCTTGTATTCTGTACTCTTTTCTGAATATTGAAAAGGATGTCGCCGCTCTGCTCCGAAGGATGTAGACATATTTGTCAAATCTCATAAATCTCTGTGTGTTCTTCTGGATTTGTGTCGATTCATAGTTTTTTTCGCCCTAATTTCTCAACAACCTTCATCATTATCTCTTTTTCAAATCAAAGTAAGAGTATCAAGTAAATTTATATCAATATATTTGAGGGAAAAATAGAAGACAATTATAATATTACATGTCCTCAACTATGAGGAAATGTAATCTATGTTAAAGTTCATAAAATAAATTCATTCAATATCAAAAACATTACTCAATTAATTGATTAATAGTCATACTTTTATTTTTATAATGTTTATCTTTAAATGATTTAACTTACACCCTATTGAAAAATTTTTATTTTATGTAGGTTAATATTTTATTCTATCATTAGGAATTTAAAAATCAAAGTTATGATGTTAGACATATCAATTCAAAGGAATTGAGCTTATATAAATCTTCCTTGCAGAAAATGGTGAGAAGGCATGTAAAAGAAATGGCTAAGAATTTGCAGGCGCACATTAATGTTATGCAAGTAAAATTTGATGCTATGCAACAAGAGAAGAATCAACAAGCAAGAGGCGAAGAGGAAGAGAAAGAAGATCAGGAGAACAACAGAAAAAAAGATGAGATCTACAATTTATTGTTTTTGTATTTAATCTCAAAGCCTTGAAATTTCAATGATAACTTGCATTAGAAGAAAAAGGATTCCGGGCTTCCTAAAAAAATGGCATTTACATACTACGTACCACCCATTTCCTATGTAGTTACATATCAAACACCTAAACTTTACTTTTTTACATTAATACCACCCAAATCATTGACATCACTTAAGAAATACCACCATTTTAACTTTTAAAAAGTGAAATACATCTTTTTATATATAGGTAAGGTTGTATGTAGGTAAAAATTGAAGTTTTAGTGTTAGACATGTAAATAGATAAGATTTGAGTGGTATGTATATATATACCCAACCAATTCCTATGAATTTATATATCTAACACCTAAACTTTACTTTTTTTTACATTTATATCACCCAAATCTTGTATATCACATAAAAAATAGCACCATTTTAACTTTTTAAAGATGAAATACACCTTTTCATGTTATCATGTATAGAGAAGATGGCCTGTGAATTAAAAAATTGAATTTTAGTTGTTAGATATGTAAATAAGTAGGAATTGAGTGGTATGCATGTAAATCTTCAAATAATTTTTTTTATAATAAAAAGAAAAGAAAACTAAGCTTCCAGCATCCAAACCCATGCTTTTCCACCGGAAAATTTTTGCATACATACATCGCATGCATGCGGTGCGGTGTCCGATCCTGACCGTAGATCAAGGTGATATAAGGTCAAGATGTATTTCGGCCCCGCTTAAATTTTTTTTTTTTTCAAAAAAAATTTGATTGCATCCTGATCGTAGATCACCGTGATCTACGGTTAGGATCGAACATCGCATGCATCTCTGGATGAATAATTTTTCATCTACGGTCAGGATCGAACATCGCATGCATCTCTGGATGAACAATTTTTTTTTTCCTTCCAAATACCCAATTTTGTGAATCTGCAACCAAATAATCTAGAAATCTGATAGCATTAAAGATATGTTCGGTCAAACGTCTTGCCATTTGGATTCACTAAATCATAATTGAATAGGATTTATCAAATCCAGAATTACAGCAACCAAACCTCAACCAAATAGACCATAAAGAGAAATAGGTAGCCAAATTATTCATCAATATAATTTCAGATCGTAATCCTTTCAAAATTTACCCAATCTGAATTTACAGTATTTACTAAACCCTACTTGTAGCCAAGCAACTCAGTATGAACAGTAGAAACAATGCAAGACGATGAAGCCAGGAATCCATATTAGGAACAAAATAGAAATAATAAGCATCAAAACGAATCACCAAACAAGCAAAAAAGGAAAAAAAAAAGGGAAGATAAGGCCTCAGATCATAATCCCTATCTCGAAGGCTGGGGTACCATCGAACAAATGGTTCTAAAAAGGGGATACAAAAACCTAAACTCTACATCAGAAAACAATGACAATGAGATCCAAGCTTGAATCAGAAAAAATAAGCTGAAATAATACCAGTGGAAATCTTTCATGGGCTCGATCACGTTGACAAGGTTAGCCCAATCCTTGATGAGTTCCTCGATTTTCTCCGGCGACACGTCGTCCTTGAACTTTCCCAGCAGCACGTGCTTCACAACTCCGGTCGCCACCTCCATCTCCACCGCCGTCTTTCACCCCCGCCGATATCTTCTCCCGCTAAGATTTTATACAAGAAAGACCAGATCTGCCATTAAAAGATAGAGCTATTCGTACCTTCTTCAAGCAGGCGCAAGGGGAGTAGATGGCGCATGGCTGAATAAGAGTAGTGGCATTTACGTGAATACAGTATCTAACCTATAAAATTTTATTTACATTTACATTAATACCACAGAATTCTTTTGTATTTACAAAACTAACACCCAAAATACATTTCAAATATCTAACATGTCAAAAATACCTATGATTAATGGATTTTAGATATATATATATATATATATACATATATATATATATATATATATACATATATATATAATACATATATATATATATAAATAAAAATATGTAAGATTTTCAATTACAGATTCATATCCATTATTAAAAAAATATATTCAAATAATATCAAAATAAATAAAAAACTTTTAATCTTTATCAAAATTTCAATAATTTGATTGTCACATGCATAAATATATCAGTTTAGTAGTTCAAAAATATCATTTGTGTGCTGAATTTTGTAAATAATAATATTTTGAGTGCTATTTTGTAATTCTCCCTCGGGGATTATCACACCGAGGACAATTTTTGTGTGGAGAGTTTCAAATTGTATAGCATTTTTTTTCAAAAATAATTTATTCAGCTTATTTTTTCTCACAAACAATATTAATCAAATATTATTTAGAATATTTGATTGCTCGAAAACCAATCACTTTCATGGGGAAAATTTAGCACAATCACGGGAAAAAAATATTACATCAGGAGTACTGATGCAAAACTGAGTAAGGAGTACTGATACAAAACTGTATCAGGAGTCCAATCACAATACGTCACATGTACGGTCTGACACTTTCATGCATTGAATAATTTAGTATTTGTATTCAGTGGGGCTCAACTGTACACGTGACGTATTGTGATTAGAGTCATAATGCAGTTTTGCATCGTAATATTTTTTTTCCAATCGCCGACCGTTTTGATTTTAAGCAAAAAAATTAGACCAAAATATCCAGACTTCATGAGAAGAAAATTTAAAATTATTAAATGAAAAATTTACATGCATTACCAAACAATTTTTATATATTTACACACCGAAAAATTGATTTTTTACACTTTAACACTTTTTTGTCGTAAATCTATGACATGCATTACCAAACAATTTTTATATATTTACACATCTTACACCCAAAAATTGATTTTTTACACTTGTAACACTTTTTTGTCGTAAATCTATGTATGAAAAAAATGTATTTTATTTTAAAAAGAATTAATAATTGTGGTATTTTAAATGTAATGTTAAAGTTCTGAATTATAGAAATATGAAAACAAATTTAGGTGTAAATACATAAGAAATGTGTGACATATTTGTAAATGTATAGTACTCAAGTGGCATAAAATTTTAGAATTAGATAAGATACCAATATTGACTTTTTTTCTCCTTGCTCAAAATCACAATCAAAATTTATTTTTTAAGAGGTATAATAAATGAGATGACTTTTTTTTTTATTCATTTATTAAATAAGTTTAACGTTACATGCATTAAATAAATGTTGTTATGAAGGGTTGAAATTATTTTAGTAGGTAGAGCTATAAGTTTAGATGGAAGGTTGAATTTATAGATGCTCGATAATTGATTTGACTTCCAGCTTGAATCGAGCCCAAGTTGAAGAGGTGAGTCGCATCATGAGCTAAATGTGAATCAACCTCAAAACGTGATTCAATTTAGAGTAGTTAGGGCTCTATGGACCCAGGCCACTTAGATTTCAAATCTACTAAGCTGTGAAGATAATCGACCCAACCCTGTCGTGGAGATCACTCCAGCAACTCATGTGTTTCATCGACCGACACAATCAATATAACTGAAGTAAAATAAAAAATAAAAAAAAAACAAAGAAACATCTCGACTTCTATAAGTTTATCTAAACCAAAAGAGCAGAATAGAGATTACACCTAACAATGGTATGTACAAGAAACCTATAAAGAATGAAGAAGGAATAGATGACTTACTATAAAACTAAGTCATCCCACAAAGGACTGATAATCTAGTTTGGATCAGGAGAGCCTCTAACACCCTATACCACACTAGACAACCCCCTAAATGTATAAAACATATGTTGGACCGGTCAGATCCCTAGGTGAAGCAGTATCTAAATAATAAGTTAAAACATCTTAGGTGGAGAGACTCTATTAGCATGATCGGGGGTAATATTCATGCATTCTGTGATCATTTTAAAATCAACACTAATATGTCATCAACAAATTTATATCATTCAACACAAATCTTGAGGCATGACATGGATCTCAAGGCAACCTTTAGAGATAGGAATGTTCAAACCTCGATAAAAAGTCATCAAGAGCTCTGATTTCAACAAACTTATTGTCAATCTAATCGACATGATGAAACGAACCTGATGATATTAAAATTCATCAAATCCAAGTCAAATCAAGCCATTAAACCACTTTTGAAAGCTTTTCCAACATATTCGGAAGGTCAAACGAATGTTGAATTTGGTGAGCTCATTGTAGAATCAAACGTCTCTACAAGACAAATCCAACGAATCTAATATCGCTCAATTATGACATTGTCAATGCTCTCAAATATCCATCATATGTCGTTTAATCGAGGGAACCTCTATGGGTCGTCCGATCAAAGTATTTCATATTCTTTCATTAATTACAGCCGGGGACTCTATAAATAGAGCCCCACTTCTCTCATGGGGGGGGGGGGGGGCTTGAAGCTTATAGGAGCAAAAGTCAAGCATCATTTCGTCGTTGACCGTCATCGACCACATTGTCGACAACTAGTCGCAGACCATCTCTCGTGGATCACCGTTAGCATCTCTTGTAGGTCACCGCCGACCATCTCACACTGACTTTCGTTGACCACTATTGACCAATCAGAGAGTGATTGTACCTCCATCTGCTGGATAAAAAAATGCAAAAAAACTTTCATGAAGTTAATGTAGGGGAGTAAAACTACTATGCAATACAAGGTTGAATTTATTGCTTTAGCCAAATATGCACAAAAATTAGTTAGTACTCTAGGGGAGATATGTTACTGCTTTTTGAGTTGACTTGGAGATGATTTGATGCATCCACTGGTTCACTCATGATTCAAAATTTTCTGAACTTAGTAGAAAAAAATATCATCTATCTTCGACCACCACTAACTGTTGTCGACCACCGCTAACCACTGTCGACCACCACTTGCTGGTCGCCGTGGATCATTATTGTTCGTCTCATGTTCCTTGCAACAAGTTCATCTGCATGTCAACTTTGTAAATTTGAAGAGTGTTCACCCATTTCCTTAATATGGGATGATATGGACTATACTTGTAATCTCTAGTTTATAGTATATTTTTTCAGCTAGGCCAGGTCTCGTGGTATTTTCCCTTTCTGGACTTTCCAAGGAAAAATTTATGATGTCTCTATAGGTTATTTCTTTCATTTGAGCGTATGTTGAATTCTTGTGCAACGCTAAGACAATAATCTATTACTTTACCATCACGAATCTTCTAGCACACATCAGTTTGGCACTGTCGGTGGGAAACGAAGTCCCGTCCGGTAGTGTCTTCAACTCTAAGATGTTGAGCCCCTACTTCATTTCTCAATGATGTACATCATTCAACTAGCAAATGAACATCTTTTATGTCTTGAAGATCATCTCTAAAGTATTCTTCGATGTGGGGCCCAACTGTTACATCAATCTAGAAAGGTCGACCACGTCAACGTCCCTGACACTATTGTAGTAGGGTTGTCTTTTCACATCATATTCAGGCACAATGTCTTTCACAACTTCTTCCAGCCTGGGGGACAACCTTGACTGCAGTTTCAAAAGATCGTTCACATTAAAGTCCTGGACACGATTATGGTAGGGTAATCATCCCACAGTTTGTTTAGACAAAAAGTCTTTGAGAACTGCTTTCGAACTAGGGGCAATCTTCACCATAAATAACACTTAGTGCCTCCTCACCGTACTGGACTTCTTCTTCAACCAAATCAGGAAGTTGATATCTTCAAGGCTCAATACATGAGATGCTTTACAAGCTCGTGTAGAAAATGTCCACGCTAGGGAGCAAAAGATTTAAAAGCAACAACCAACAAGTTGTCATACATTGTTATTGATTATGGCTGCAACCATATTTCTAAGAAAGAAAACGGTTCATTGCAAACTATGTCATAATCTTGAGAAACACAAAGCATCTCTGACACCTCATTCTGGGGATAATAGATCTTAGGGGGACTCGATTCAACCTCTTCCATGACAAGCTATAATCGACAAACAGAAGCTTTGACTAACAACCTCAAATAGGTCAAAAATGCATAGTGGATTTCCTTTGACCTCTTCCATAACATATTATAATCGTTAAGCAGAAGCTTCAACCAACAACGTAGGATAGGTCAACTATCCTCAGTGGATTTCATATGACTTTTCCATTACATATTAATGTCGTTGAGCATCTCCAGATATACAACCCGTGATGGGTCTTACATCCTTAATGCATTTTTCTTTCAATTATGCTCCAATACAAGCTACAGTCACTAGACAGATGCGCTTCGACTAACAGTCTGGGAAAAGTCAAACATTCGCAGTGGCAAACAAGGTCTCCAACCATAACCATAGAAGTCGAACTCTTGTGGCAAGACTCGATTGGAAGATACGGTACCCCTGAAAGTCAAGCTTAATAGACAATACTTGATGGGAAGCAATCATGCCCCTAGAAATCGAACCTAACAGGCAAAACTCGATGGGAAGATATGGTACCCTTAGAAGTCAAGCTCAAGAGGCAAGACTTGATAGAAAACTAAGGTACTCCTAGAAGACAAGCCTATAAGGCAAGTCTTGATGGAAAGCTACGGTGTTCCTACAAGACAAGCCTAGGAGGTAAGTCTTGATGGGAAGCTACTATGTTTCTGAAGTCCAGATCAAGAGGTAAGACTCAATGTGAATATATGACACTTCTATTAGACGAGGCCAAAATGTAAGTCTCGATGGGAAGCTAGTGGTGGACAATGTCTTTACTAGAAAGACTCTAAGAGAGCAAGTGGTTGATAGGTTCTCTACTCAAAGACCTAAAAATGCTACAAGCATCAAAAGACACAGGTACATCAAATACCTCG